TTTAAAGGACGAATTCACGATGAAAAGCAACCCATTTCAAATTAGGTAGGATGGTGAGTGGTACACGAAAGAAGGAAAACCATGAAAAACGGCCCAGAACCCGAGAAATGGGACCCCTTCCTTGCCCGTTGATTTGAGCATTGATGCGACTCTCATCGCTGTGCCCTCTTCAACACTACGCTCTCTCAGCTATCTAATCACTCGCCACGTATTGACTACGGCGAGTGATCAGATGATCGGTGGGCGGAGATCGCCGAACCGCCAACTTTGAGCCATGCTAGGTCGCCGAGGTCAAATCTTTCGATGCCGAATTGCGTGTCTGTCCGCACCCTCAAGAGATTCACCGCTCTCCCCACTAGGCGATTTCTCCCTTCTTCGACCTTCGTTCTTTCCGTGCAATCCTCCTTTAAGCGATAGCAAAAGTATTTGTTGTAGTGTGCTTGCGATCCACCCCAGCCCAATGAACGTAAACAGAATTGTGGTACATGCCTAACTTTAAGACAGAGTATTATAGAAGAGAGTAACATGCTGGAGACACTAGTCAACATGTGCATTTCTCGAAAACACTCAATAGTAAGTAAGGGTGCAGTGACAAGCGCTCGAGGGCTCCCGGTTTGACCAGCGTTGGTTAGCCGATGCAATAAGTAGCACTTCCCGATTTACATTGATCCGGCCGACAGCGTGAAGTCAATCATTTTTTATTGGGGTACGGTATTGATCGAAATATATCTACGGAAATGCTGGATGATCTCTACGGAAGTGAAGCCTACCATTCCGAGAAAGTCCTTTGCGAATGCGTAAAACCAATTGGTTACGGTCAATTAGTTCCTTGAGATCGTAAAATGAAAACTGTTGAGACGTGTTTAATATTTCCTTTTTCCTTCATCAAAAAAGACCAAATCTGGTGATTACACACTGGACTTTACGGTCGTAACTATTTTTGCTGCTGCCGCCGCCATTTATTACATAAATGTACGCGCCTTCATGACACTTGTTGGAATTGAGTTAGAGTGGCCATAGTGGACAGAAAACCATTGAAGCATCAACGATATGCGCTCATCTCGAATCCACTTGAGTTCCTAATTTCAGAATTTCAGCGTTGTCAAAACGTTAATTTTGCTTTGACTCATTTCTCCCGTTGAAAGGTTGAGCATTAGAAACGTGGCGTGTGGTGGCCTTAGAAGAACTTCAAGAAAGTGATCAGTCTGGACGGCTTATTCTATCGGCACAATGTCACACTCCTCGGCAACAAATATTGGTATTTTCCTGATGAAGAGTACATCAGGAAGCTTGGAGTGACATTCATCTTGATCTCCAATGTAAATCCGCAATTATGCTTACAAGGGAAGGATGGTAGGTCGAAGTGGCCGTTCAAAATGAAATGTATACCTCCTGATGCGTCTCCAGACGCTGATTCCAAATCTGCCTTCCAAATCTGCTAAACGACTCTCCGAACGGAGTTATGAAGCGTAATAGCTCAGTGGTGATGGTCCGGGGTGGCAGGTAAAAGCTCGTAGGATCGGTTCCTTTGCAAATTGGTTGCTTTGCTTTTGTCTCTAGAAGTGTTGCGGACATGTAACACATGTACACATGACGACATGTACACAATTTGTTGTGAAATGTACACAATTTGTTTGACTGTTTCCGTGTCATTAAAATCGTTGCTATGCCAAGCCCTCAAGGCCGATGGAGCCTTTGGGATACGAGGGAGCTAATATAATTTGGAGGCCCAAGGCGGAAAGTGCGAGCACACAACCAGCAGACAAGAGATACGATTTTTGAATTCTGTACTTCCTAGCCTTTACTGCATTAGCAAAGACATGGGCTGAAGTGCTCAAGTACACTTAGGCGAGGAGCTTCTTGAGGACAATGCGTGAGCGATGGGAAAGGCGAAGTGAGTCAATGCAGAGTCATTACGACAGTGAAGTTCCCATTGATTTTCAAAAGTTACCGGCGTTTCATCTAACAGCCCAGCCTAACGACAGAAACTTTCTAAACATCTTCCGACAATGTCTAAATATGTATATGCATACAGTGGCAACCAAGTTGATTGACAAGCGGTTTGAGGATTTCTCTTCTGAAATTGCTGGATTGCGTCCAGTTTGCACCACTTATTCAGAATGTGCTTCCCGATGTGAAGAAGATATCAATCGTTAGCTCAAGTCGGGGTTGAAAAAAAATCACGGATTATTCACAGAAGGATCAACTACACAAACGCTAACATTAAGCAAGTTAGCATATTACCACAAACTCGGTCTATATAGGGTAACTGATAAGCTTACTCTCCAGTGAAGCATCTTCTTCCAATTTTCATAGAACACATATTTTCGCTCATGTTCCTAACTATTTTTCTCTGGACAACATCACACAACCACTGCAGCTCCTTCTGATTGGTTATGTGATGCTTCGTGCGACTGCGATGTCTTCGGCTACATAACATCTTCTGGAATCTATCTATCATGTACCATAAATTCATTACATCTTGAAGTCTACGAAGACTGCGCGCGGTGAAGTAGAAGAAGAGTGTTCTTGGTAAAGCCCGAAACGGTGGCTGTCACGGTGCTCCAACGTCATCTTGCAGGCGAGAATAAATGTGTGATGTTCGGCAGCGAGCGTGCCGCGTCCTGAGGGGAATGCTTTGATCCATCAGCTGCCAGCCGTGAAATACAGCGAAATGAGACGGGAGACAGCTCTAGTTCCATGAAGCATCACTTCAGTTCTCCAGAATCTTTCGATAAGGTGCATACTAGTATAGGCTTAAAGGAATCTTCCACGGAAAAGCTCCGCCCCATTACCACAGAAAACGATACCTTAAAGGACGAATTCACGATGAAAAAGCAACCCATTTCAAATTAACCTAGGATGGTGAGTGGTACACGAAAGAAGGAAGAACCATGAGAAACGGCCCAGAACCCCCGTTGCTTCGAGCATTGATGCGACTCTCATCGCTGTTCCCTCTCCA